GATAAATGCTCACAGAGCTTGATGGGAAACCTCTTGAGAATATATCATGTGGAAACATAAGGGGATGCATATCTGAAATGGGATTTTTTTGGCACCAGAATTATGAGGTGTGAGTAGGTGATAAGGTCAACAGAGCACTATCTTGTATTGACCTTACGGAAATCTTGCATAATCAATAATTATATATTTGGTACCTGAGCCCATCATCAATTCTTAAGTAAGTCACTCAGATAGTTCTCGAAATTCTTATTAAGTATTTTAACGCATCTAGAACCGATCACGGAAATTTACGGTTACTCCATTTCATCAGTACGGATGGACAGCCGAGCTACCTCTCGATATAAATCTGCCTTTGTCAGAGGGTTAACATAAGCTACTGGCGAACTTCAAGGTTTCGTCGAAAGTCAATGCTATGTTCATAATTCTGGGAAGCCGTAATGTTTCATGTATTTTATTGTGAAATACTTGAAAGTGTTGTGATCGAATTGAGTCACTCGAGTGAATCACTGTTTGTGTTACACGCAGATTTGAAGCAAGGAGTTCATTTATATTTATTTTGGATTGGTTTTATACAGAATATACAATTACGAACCCCCCTCCTAAAGAAACACAGTATGAGCGTGTGTAGGAGAGTGTAGGTATATTTCCACAAATTCTAGACACCATCATTACTTAGATATAAATGGTCGCCTTCGCGCTCCAGCTACTTTACCCTCGCTGTCCTTTTTGATTGAGGTTGTTGCTCTTGGGATTCAAATTCTGGCCATTTATGAATAAAACAAATATATTGTTCATCAGTTTAATAAAAATATGTATATAACAAAATATGAAACTGTTAAAAGTATGATTGTTTCACAAGTCTACTGTAGCTTCACGTTTAGTATGTAGTCTTCGTCCTAAAATTGTGTCATTTTTTTCATGAAAATTGCCAGCATTTCTCGTTGTAATATCGTAATATCTTAATTTTCTTCCAGTATTGTAATGCAAGAGAAAAGTATAACATTTCATGCATGTTACAGCAAATTCAACAGTTCACTTTCTTCAATCGTATAGTATATTGAAAAGTGAAAAAATATAAAAAATTGTATATGGGAGGTAAAATCTTTGGTATTTTCTGTTAAGTCTGTGTACTTCAACTGGTCATTTTAAACGTATTACTAGTCAAATACATGCTATTGTCCTTGTCTATATGCTAATGGTTCTCTTGTGAACAATGTTGGCTCTAGCATATGTGCTATTGGTCCTTACATGCGTACTACTGGTCCTTGTATGCGAATTCCTGTCCTTCACATGCGTACTATTGGTCCTTGTATGCGCATTCCTGTCCTTCACTTGCGTACTATGGTCCTCGTATGCTTTCTATTGGTCTGAAATGCCTACTGCTGATAGTCGCTTGCGTGCTTTAGTCCCGCTGGTCATATTACTGGTCCCTGCGAGTTAAGCGTACTGTTTGTCCCTGTATGCATGGGGCCTACTATTAAGCTAGACAAAGTGGTAACAATTGGTCCTAAAATTTTTACTAACAAAAATACAAATAAAAATATCATTTGGTGTTTATGTCGACAGGATTTAGGAATAGGTAACTCATTATGTATCGGTATATTAGTAAAAATGAAAAGTCAATGTTGAGGCAATACCCAGACTAGAATTAATATAGAACACTCATTCCCGTCTTATAGATGGCGTAATTATTTTAAATGACGGATTAGGCAGACAAAACATAAACGGTTTCCGTCCGAAATGCTAATATTCTATAGTCAAACTGATCATAGCCAATAAAAGATGACCTTTAATACATATTACATGCATTACTTAAAACGTATAAGGTTAAAGAAATTATAAAATGTTCCCCTGTACCTGAGTACCAAGCCCTGGAGGCGTTTAGGATTGTTGAAGAATGTGAACATCTTTCTACACATACTTCGGCCCTTTAAATCCCTGACGTTGTGGCCTGCATGACTACAGGGCCTTGTGAGTATGCAGTCTTTGTCTTATGGACATGCACCGTAATTTTATCTCCAGAAGAATGCCGTTTTCTGGGATGTGGCGCCTTGTATATATTGTAAAAATCGACGTTTCGGAGGAACGCATCGCTTCCATCTTTAGGGTAGAAGGAAAAATGAAAAAATCCGTGAGCGAGAAACCAGCGTGAGCTGGCGGATTTTTTTATTTTTTCTTCTACCTTGAAAATGGAGGCGTTACGTTTCCCCCGAAACGTCGGTTTATACAATATCTACACGTCGCACAACCCACAAGACGACATTCTTCATAGACGCCGCCGTGAAAACCTCAAATCCTACATTATCACCAGAAGTTTCATGGCTCACTTCAGAGTTATATTACTGAGGTTTTGTTTTTTACTTTTATGGGAATCATTAAGTACAGAGACAACTTTATTAATGGGAATATGATAGCCTAGATATTTTCTATTAAGTAGTGTTATTTAAGTGTCTAAAAAGCCTGTATGGGTTGCATACGTGAGAAGTTTTGTCATTTACGTAATAAGTGGTCAAACGTAAGTTATTCTCATAGTCACTAATGCCTGTCGCCTTCGAGCACTGGTCATTGTCCGTTGTTACGGAGTTATGACGTCAGGATACGTATAAACGTCATGTCAGCAGTTTATAATACTAATAAATATAACTGAATAATGTTTAACAATAAATTATGTTAGAATAAAATTATCTGTACAAATAATAGAGTATTTTCGGTACTGTTGTTGGCACTNGCTACAGTATTACTTTACATGTAACAAATACAATCACATAACCTAATTAATTTTGATGAATCATCGTTTAAAAATTCACTTTATAAGAAAACTCCGTGCTTTTAGTCCGCAAGCCAACTATACTGACCGATCGACCGTCGCTTGTCGGCGAAGTTAGTGCCAACTTTAGCGGATAGAGAGTGTCGCGTGGTCAGCGCAACGAATTCCCACGGCCTTTAATCTCGATTTTCTAGACCGGAGCCACTATATCCTTGAAATAGTTCCTCAGTTATCCTCACGAGGCTGAGTGGACCCCGTTCTAGACCCACTACTTCTCAGAAAATCTAAAGGTCCCGGGTTCGATTCACGGCGCTACCAGATTTTCTGAAAAGTAGTGGGTCTGGAACGGAGTCCACTCAGCCTCGCGTGGATAATTGAGGAGCTATTTAAGGAAATAGCGGCTCCGTCCTATAAAACAGATTAACGGCCGTGGGGATCCGTTGCGCTGATCACGCAACACCCTCTATCCTCTAAAGTTGTCACTAACTTCGCCGACAATCGGCGGTCGCTCAGTCGGTATAATTCGGTTACTGACTACACGCCACGGAGTTTTTTATTGAATGTGGAATTCTTTTATTCATGAAAGTGTCCCCGGAATTGTATTTTATTTATGAATGAGGACGCAGCAAATTCTTTTATTCACGGATCTGGTTACAGCATATGTTTTTGTACATGAAAAACTCTACAACAGATTTTATCTTTATAAATGTAACTGCACAAATTTCGCGATTAAGGTCATGAATAGATTTTATTACTGTGGTCATATAATGCTGTTCTTCATGAATGAAGCCACGGAATCGGTCTTTTTTATTAAATATCCATGGAAAATTCTTTTATCTGTATATGCAACCAAGACAAATCCCTTTGTTCGTCAGTATGGTCATAGTTTTGTGTGCCTTTGAAAACCTGTATACTGCTACATTCACATGCGAAGTAGGCTAACTCTTTTGTGTGGATCAAATAACACGTGAACGATCATCTTCCGTCTGTGTATATTTACCCATGTGATTTTTTGTTTTACCTTGGAATTCGTTCTATAACCGTATATTATTTCCATGTTATTACAGTGATCGAATCAAGGAAGATGAGATGGGTAGGGCATCTAGCAGGCGTACAAACTTCGGGAAAGGAAAACTGAAGGCAGGAAACAATTAGGAAGAATGAACGTAGGTGGTCAGATTATGTTGTGACATGCAACAGCCTGTAAACAGGCGACAGTACAACGGCCGTTGCTAAGGAACATCTTTGTGGACGCGTTGTTTTCCCGGCAACAAGAGAACACGCAATAATTATTTGACGTTTTCAGTGTGATCCGTGCCAGGGCTGTGTAACGAGAACTAGCAGTTTAGTTGATTAATCTCCGCGTGGAGGCGGGTTCGAATACCTCCACTATAGCCCTGCGAGTGTTACGAGGCGACTAAAAAATAAGCCGGTACCTGGGGGTATAATTGGGCCACCCTGCTCCTTGGGGATATTAATACTGGGACCTGGCCCTCTAAGATGGAAGAGTCTCGAACCTGAGACAGTAAAATATGATCATGAGTCCCGCGGGACTCGGACCCGAGAATTACTGCCCTGGCGAGGTCAGCAGCAGTTGTAAACGGGTTCTCTCATCAGAGAGGGGGCCCCACATCAACAAACCCGCAGTTGTCTGACTAATAAAAATCCGGTCTTGATCCCCAGATGGGGCTTGACACCAAAGCAAGACTAGCTGACTGACCGTCGATCGTAACGTAACTTTGACTTTGAACTGACTTCAGTTGTTGTCCGGTCAGTTGAGATTTGCAGTTGTGAGAAGTAAGAAGGTGGTAGCTGAGGCCGGGGACAGTTCGGGAACCCAGAGGAAAGGGAATGTTTGCCGTTGAAAGCCGCTACTAAGCAACAGCTAGTGAAGACTGAGAATACTTTGTATGCTTTAGTTATAGTGATCTGTGTAGTGTGTAACTCAATGAGACTTAGTTACCCGTATTTACGAGTGTAAGTGTTCAATAAATCCGATTACCAATCCAAACCCCGCCTATAGGCACTACCACGTGACAGTATTTAAATGGATCTATGGAAATGCGCTGGGGGTTGCAGACTAGATTCATCTGACTCAGGATGGGGACTAGTGGCGGGTTTTTGTGAACACGGTAACGAACATTCTGGTTCCATAAAATACTGAGAATGTCTTAATTAAGCAAATATTAGCTTCTGAAGGACACAGCTCCATGGAACTGTGTTGGCACTTACATTAAGAGGCCTGCTGGTAGCCGCGGTAAGCCAATTGCTGGGCATCCACGCCGCTCCTTCCCCACCCTCCGTGACCGCCGCTGCCACTCCCGCCGTAAAGACCGAGGTCTCCGCCATATCCACCTCCGCCTGACGAGTATGACTCATGATGACTGCTGCTGTGATGCGGGTGGCTGACTATCTCATACGTGACACTCTTCTGTTGTGACAGGAGCTTCTTCAGGCCGATAATAGCGGAAATTATGAATGCGATTTTGCCGATCAGCAGGGCTTTACCGGCAATCAGTGCAATGGCGCCCAGGAACAGAGGAATAAGTGCAGCTGCCTTCAGTTTCAGGGCTAACAGAAGAGGCAGCAACATCTTGACCTTCTCTGGGAAAACATGAGACATTGTGTTATAAGCTTGTTGTGTGGTAATGCTGGGACACTGTGTTATTTGCAGAGGGTATTAAATTGTTATGTTCAGTAAACAGGAAAGACTGATCCAGAAGCGGTTGTGGCCTACTTCAAGGCTCTGTCTCAGTATTCACCTGAAATAATTGAGGAACACTACGAAACATGTCAGAATAACCCTCATTCCTGCCTGTTTATGTGGCTGTCATCATAAACTCTACCATATCCGCGGTTTTATTTCGGCATCGTGATGAACAGCTACGTCCTGAGACCACGGTAGATTCTGCGCGCGCAGTTCTTCTGACTCGCCCCCTCCCCTCCCAAAATCACCAAGATGTAGACAACAGGCAGTTGGTTGGTTGCTTGCTTACGTGGCTTACATTTTAATACTGAAACTGGAGGCAATACGTTCCTCGAAAACGTCAATTAACTTCTACCAGACTGCACGCCGGAAGATAACATTCTTCATATGAGAACCTAAAATCTAAAATAGGTTTGGGATTTTCACGATAGTGGATATTAAGACGGGAGTCCGTTGGAGTGTGACGCTGTGTCGTCTGGGAGAGGTTACCCCAAAAAGACAGCAGTTCTACGTAATATATATGTATCTGCAATGAATGAATGAATGAATGTTAGACGGCCTCTGTGGTCTAGTAGTTAGAGTTCATGGCTACAGATCCAGAGGTCCGGTTCGATTCCCAGCACTACCAGATTTTCTGAGAAGTAATGAGTCTGGAACGGGGTCCACTCAGCCTCGTGAGAATAATTGGGGAGCTACTTGAATGGAAATAGCGGCTTCGGTATAGAAAACCTAAATTAACGGCCGTGGGGATCCGTTGCGCTGACCACGCGACACTCTCTATCCGCAAAAGTTGTCACTAACTACGCCGACAAGCGTTAGTCGCTCGGTCGGTATATTTCGCTTGCTAACTAAAACCACGGAGGTGTTTGTTTTTTGTTTTTAATGAATGAATGTTATATCCAGCGAAGAACAGAATCACGGTATATATTATCCGTCTATACAACAATTATTTAATAATAAAATACAAAAAGTCCTGGAAACAACTAACGTTCTACACGGACTGCATAGAAAACGATTCCTCCAACAATTCTTCGTTCCCACTTGAACGTCTTTACTGAGTTGTTACCTAGCAACCATGTGGGAATACACAGATTCACATATTGTCCTTTGATAGGACACGTACCGCATAGAATATAACGCGTCCAACAATTCTTACATTGTTGAGTGTATTCATTGTCGCGGGAACGTCTTTACTAAGCCGTTGCCTATAGGAGGAGACACACAGACATTTATGATGTAGGCGGTTGAGATGGGCTCAGGTGCCATGATATATATACCAAGTTTCATAAAGATTGTTTCAGTTAGGAAGAGGGGACACAAACAGATAGAATGGAGATCGCATAAGCTTACTTTAAGAAAATAAGCTAAAAACAGAAAACGTGTGGAGATTAGTAAATGAATACAGAGTCATTGAATTGCAAGTTAAGAAGACCGGAACGTTAACAAGGAATTGATTTCCGCTGGCTTCGAATCTCAGTTGGAGCAGTTTCGTGTGAATGATTCGAATGGAACTTTAAACGCTGACATCCGGCGTGGAAGATAGCGATGTTATGGCCCATGTGTGACCCACTGAACCCTAACCAGGTTCCTGATAAACCTTGTTCTACATGTGCTCCGCCTTTCGTGTCACGAGGATACACATGTCACAGTGTCGCTCTAGAAGCTGAGTCCATATTGAAAAACCACTAGTCCCTCAGCTACTCAGGAATTTTGCAGCATTGTATGAAACCCAAAGGTTCATTAGAATGTTCACAAGAGCCCTACACTGGTCCAAGAGCAAATGCTGAGTTGGTACCCAAATTCCATGTTGTATTTCTTGCTTCACATGCAGTTCTCCCAATGGTAACATCAAAGTTTCGCCCTAATATAGCTCTCCCAATCATAATTTCAGTTGAATGCTGCCTTTCCGGCGTCATAAAAAATAACTCTGATCATATGCATTACCTCTACCGGAAGGACAAGCGAGCACTGTCTGGGAACCTTCAAAACCCGAAAAATAGTTTCTATCTCCGCCGCCAGATGCAGTATCTCTCACTGCCTCACCACTTTCTATCTCTTCTCTCTCTCTCTCTCTCTCTAAGTCTCTAAAGGGTTAAGCACAGGTTACCTTTACGTATTACATACTTATGCCTGTAGGTAGTTGCTTTGCTATAGCAGTTGTATCAGGCTAGTGCTAGCGTTCCTGTATTGTGATTGGTGAGGTCTGGACTCGATAGAAGCGTGCTCCATGCGTCTTATAATTCTGAGATCAAAAATTTGCAGTTCACATTCTCGTGTTCTGGGTTATGACACTTCATAGTTTTGTGGATGGTTACCGACGTTTCGGAGGAACACCTGCCTCGTCTACCTTGAAGATGGATGAAGCATATTCCTCAGAAACGTTTTTAGCCACCTACAAAATTATGCGGTTTCATAACTCATCAGACTACTACATGAATCATTATAAAATCTATTGGAGAATATTCACAAATTCTCGTTATAGTGGAAATGATTACTGATAAAGCATAACGAAGCTTCCCTTCCGTAGCTGTAAAATTGGGTTTATAATACACTTTAGTCCAATTTCCTTATTTTTAAAAGTAGAAGTAGGCTTATGAGATCACCTTGCTGTCTCTGTCTGTATGGATATCCCCAATAAAAACTTTTGAACTACTTAAGAGAGCTACATGAAACTTGGTATGTACGTGTATCATGCCACTTGGAGCTATCTGAGTGGCCTACTTCATATTCTTCTCCTCCCAATAATACCAGTGTCACAGCATCTCAAATTATTGAGCAAATAAGCTAAACACTACTTTATTGCTTCGACCGGTCTTCATGAAACTTCTGTGTGTGTCATGACACCTGAGGTCATCTCAGTGGCTTGCTTCATAAATCCAACACTGCAAACTCTCATATTGTTCAATTCAATTCAATTCTTTATTATTAATGTGCCGAGTCAACAGCCGTAAGGCCAATTACAGACACAGCACAGTGCAGATGAATGAATTACATTATAGACAAACTTATTAAAAGTAAAATACAAATTACAGGTAAGTACTTGGAAGAAATAATAATGAATAAAAGTAAAAGTAAACAAACAAGTAACTTATAATTATAACAGTGATAATAATTTCATTATCATTAAACTAAGTGTTATTACGAATTGAGGAATGAAACATAAATATTTAATTAAGAAATGAATAGTATAGATTTTCAGAGGATGATAATAATAATTCATTTTGTTTCATTGGACATGCAAATAATAAAAATACTAGCAGTTATACTATATTTAAAATTTGTTTGGGTAGAACATTCCTGGCTCCGAATACGTCAACCTCCCTGCAGACAACATTAGCAGCTGCTGCGCATCTAGCAGAGGGACAATTTTTAAATAAGGAGCAGACATTGAACAATGCAAAATCTCTGATATACCGAGCAGGAACTCTGAGACCAACAATTTCCAGGACAGAAGGGCAGAATTTCGAGCCAAAATAAACTTGAAACTTCAGGTAATAACCTTAATGTTACTTAAATGTCTAAACCAATCTTCACGAAACTTGATATTGTAATGTGTAGAGCACGTGGTCTGGACTCAACGCAGCAGGAGGAAACACCCAGCACGTCGAAAAACACGAATATGTGACAGGGCTACACATCAAACATTAGAAGCTCAAAACGCAAACACAGAACATTTTTAAACACCTGATGATGACCAATGACGGTCGAAACATGTAGTGAACAGTGTGGTTTTAAATAGATATAAAAGACTCATTGTGTATATGTAGCAACTTTTAAACAAAATTTTTAAAAATGTTGCATGTAAGACGAAAAATCGGACACGTTTGTTAATTAATTAATAAGATGCTACAGTACGCTACAGTATAACCTTATGAGGGGTAGTAAGCATTACCCGAATTCAGTTTCCTCTTAATTTCTTCCTGAACCAGGTTTTGATTTGTTATAGTCGTTCCCAAATATATGAACTCTGCCACATTTTCAGAACATCTGTACCTATCTTTATGTCATGATTTTGCCCTGCATTTTGGTGACGAGACAGCAACATGTACTTAGTTTTCTCTGTGTTTACTTCTAAACCAACCTCCTTACTAGCGTCTAGTTTTGTCTGTGAATTTTAACTTATTAGTATACATGCAAATAGAATTATCAGTTTTATAGGAATGGTCACTGAGCTGGTAACCCTACTGCTTCAAAACTCGGTCGGGAACCCGCCTATCTCAGTTTTCCTCAATCCCTTCATGCTGATGCTGGGATTGAACCTTAAAGTAGGCCAAGACCACTTCCTTTCACGTCCTTTACAATTCGTTACTCATAAATGCCGTACCGTTCGATGTTGTGCTTTACTGTCAGCGTTGTTAAATATAGCGTAAAGTAACTTAGAAATTATTACTTATTCCGTATTATTAACTTCAGTGTATTATGTTTCATTGTTACTGATAATTCTCGAATTACAAGTCTTTATACTTCGAAACTTACTTTTCTTTCCTCTTTCTTCGCTGGCGTCACGGCCGTCCTCCACTTCTTCCTCTTCCGTCAGTCCGAGGCTGTCGGCTGCATCTTCAAGAGCTCTACCTGCAGAAGTCACCGCCTTCAACACTTCATTTCCTTTAAGATCTACCTTGAGGGTGTGCGTCTTCAGGAACCTCTCAACTCTGTTGACAATCATACTCTCAAAATCTTTATTGGTTTCTTCATTGCCTCCTGCAATTGCTCTTGGGCCTCCATCTCCCGAGACTTCCGGTGGAGATCCAGCATTCTTGACCACGGTGACACCTTCTGTCAACGTGAAGCTCTCTTTACTTCCTAGTACCTTATCTACAAAGGAAAACAGCTTGTATTTTACGCAAGAAACCGAATCTTTCTTGAGACAGTCACTGTAGATGCTGTTCATGACATCGTCACTGTTTTGGATGGAGTTACGACTTTGTTGTTGGAATCCTCGTGCTTCATTGGCGGGCGGAGACACGGCGGGTACTCCTTCCTGTGTTGCTGGTAAGGCCACAGAAATGCTTACCGCTAGACCAGACAGTAGCAACGCACGCCACAAAGCCATGCTGAAGAGATATATTGTAGCAATGACCCGAACTTTGTTTTGTGAAGGACAGCGCTAAAGAACTTTGTCTTATATAAAGATGGTAGTAACTTCTCTCCTGTTGACCCCCCCCCCCAAAACCACAAGTAGTATTCCAGATATGAGTGAAAACATGCGCATTCTCCTCAGGTAATAACAAGGAGTGATGGCTTGTCGGGAGAGGAGTGGTGGGACTGTTGCTACTGGCCAGTGTGCAGGTGCGTTACCTCTAGAGGGAATTACTACTTCCCCTCCCTCTCTTCACGGACAAGAACCTGGTTCGTTCATTAATGTAAACTTGGACCAACTTTCTTCCGCTAACTCACAAGTAACCTGGTTCCGCCCAGCAGGTCTTGTTGCATTTTTCTTTTTCTTATTGTATGTAGTTTATGTTCATGTGCTAAGTGTGGGCATATGGGCTAGATGACCCAGCTCTGGTAGTGAACCAGAATGTATGCAGTGGCCCAACAAGAACCAGGGAAAGTTCCCTCCCTTACAGGAAAGTGTCAGAAGATGAATTAACCTGTGTTTGCTGCTGTATCATTTCGGGGTGGGGGGTCACTTGTTTGAATTCTGGCTTACGTTCTCTCATATCGAATACGATGCTGTAACGGTATATCTCTAGGCTTGTATTCAGGAGGTGTTGTCTTCGAATCTCGACCAGGACACCGGCTAACCTGACAGAAGTTTTTGTGTGTTTCTTTTCCCTCGTTCCATGTAGACAAATTCTAACATGGTGCCTCGATTATATCACGAGCGGCTCCTTCCAAATCCTTTTAATTTATTCACCAGTCGTCCTATCGTTCCGATGCTGTATCGTCTAGATACTCACTCACTCATGGAGCTGAGCCCTTCTTGAGAAGCTGCCAGTTGTGCAGCTACTCAAGAATTTCCCAGCATTTTATGGAACCCGAAGGTTCATTACCGTGTTCACAAGAGCCCTCCACTGGTCCCTATCCTGAGCCAGATCAATCCAATCCATACCATCCCATCCTATCTCTCTAACATCTATTTTAATATTGTCCGACCGCCTACGCCTTGGTCTTCCCAGTGATCTCTCTCTTTCTGACTTTCAATACCGTATATGCATTCCTCTTCTCCCTCATTCGTTCTACATGCCCTGTCCACCTCATCCACCTTGACTTGATTATTCTAAGTCTAGATACTGACAGCGTAATAAAATAAACCATGAACCTGTTAGTCGGAATAAGATCTTGCGTTGTTTTCACAAGGCCGTCCTGTTAAATATAGGCTGATTTCTGAAAACAGGTCGTGGCCTCTTATGGCCCGTATGTTTTGGAGTTTTTGTTATTAATTACCCAATAATTCGATGCTGTACAGTGTATGAACGTAAAGAATAATGTTAAATAGTCCCAGATCAGTCCGTGAATCGATCAGTTATAAAAGGTTGGGTAAATGTGAGGTGTAAGTTTTAGTAAATTTGAGTACTTTTGATTCCGTATTCTGGAAATCACGGGCAGGGTACCACTGTTCTGGTTTGTCTCGTTCTTTGTAGAAAGTAATGACACAGTATTTGAGAAGTTGTCCCCTGCCATTCCCTGTCACATTCCTCCTAATTTATTAGTCACGATCTTGTCAGTTATCGCTGTTAAAGTATGCAGATAAGAATAAAAGTAATACTGTACCATTTTCGCGTTGATTTTAATAAATATTTTGTATTTAAAATGTTTTAAACGTGATATCACTTCTGTAACACTTGCACAGGAAGATGGATGGATTGTAATATCACTTGCAGCTTAATGATGAAACTAGGCAATAAATTAATAATTTAATTTACATTTAAATTGTCTGGTCTTCATATTACACTAAGTAAACATGGTTCCTCTTCCTTACTTATCAGTTTCCTAGTTCATCTCTCTCCCTCCTTTCTCTTTTTCTTCTTCTCTTATCCTTTTCCTGAGTTTATTTATTCGTCTTTCTTTCTCGGAAATACAGACGTAAATTTCAGGTAAGATCTTTCGATGATATTATTGAAATATCGTCTGGTTAAATTGATGACTGGAATTAATGAACAAAGAGAATGAGTGGACGAAACTTACGAAACAGAATTAATTAAGTTATTTACTATCTTAAGAGAACGAGTTAATAAATAAATTCAGGCTAGGAAATTGATAATAAATAATACTGTGTGGTATGTAGACCAATTGCTAGGCAACGACCGCTAAATAAGCAGGTATGCAACAGCCATGACAATATGAATTGGAGGAGTGACTGATATAAACGTACGAATGGTATGACTGGATAAAGTAAATTAATGACTAATATGAACACATAAGTAATTAATGCAATAAACTAATTGAGTTAATTGGTGTGTTTAATTGCACGGGCACCATCAGGGTGGATGAAAACAAAAAAAAAAACATAGGTGGAAAAACAAAACATAGTTTTAAAAAGAAAGAAAGCAAACAAATTTCAATATTAAAAATAAAAATTGTTTTTAAAAAATGAATTTTTCTATCCCGAATACAAGAGGCGATATGTGAAATTAATTTTATACTGCTTAAACGTATTTTTCTAAGCAAATTTTGTGGCTGTCTCCACCCTCCCTATGAAAAACTAGCTTTTCCGATTTAGAAGAAAACTGGCTGCTGGCGTAATCAGTTGATATAATGAAGAGAGTTATGAATGGATGTACTGAATTCGATAAAATACGGAACTGTGCGTTACGGTAAAGTATGCAGTATTATGTATGTATGTGATATGTACGAGTAGATGAGTTTCAGCTACGACTACACTATATATGTACGAGTATATAATTTCATGTGCTCAAGAGGCGGAAACTCTTGCGTAACATTGGGCACTTTTATGCAGGTTTTAAATGTTTCTCCAAAAGCCCTTATTGTGGGTCCAGATACTAGAAATTTGTGGTTTGGTACTTTTTCCCAACTTAAAACCATTGTTACTCGTCAATTCTTTTCCTTTCTTTTTCATTTATTGCCTTACGTTATCGTGGCCGATTTTAGTTGTCAGCCAGTATATTTCAAAGACGACATTGCGACAAACAGTATGTAAGATTTGAGGCTTTCACGGCGGTGACTATGAAGAAAGCAGTCTTCTGGGATTTGGCACCGTGTATATGTGGTGTTAACCGACGTTTCGGTTGAACGTATCGCCTCCATCTTCAGGGTAGAAGAAAAAATATAAGAAATCTGCAAGCGAAGAGACCGTGAGAACCGGTAAAAGCAGACTTTTCTTCTACCCTGAAGATGGAGGCGATACGTTCCTCCGAAACGTCGGTTAACACCACATATACACGGTGCCAAATCCCAGAAGACTGCTTTCTTCAACAAACAGTATGTTCGAAAACAAATGACATAACTGCAGTTGAAGTAAAAGTGTGTTTAACTTTTAACTTTAACTTCCTCTGTGTTTAACTAAGGCTCACGCCTTGCAAACGTAACGTGAGAGTGGAGACATACATGTATTCTTAAACTGGGCACCGGATAAAAGTGAGTGGTCAGCTTCATGCTCCGGCCACTTAATCCCCGGGAAATATCGCGCTGTGTAATTGGTCAGGAGGCTGGATGGGCCTCAGAGCCGGTCTTGACGCTACGGAGAAGCGAAAAATATCTTTCCTCTACAAGATATCAATCCCGAATCCTCGGCCATCAAGCCCGTAGACCGCTTCTATACCGACTGAGCTATCCCAGCTCCCTCTACAGCTAAAGGTGTATCAGAGACGAAAAGTACAAATATTATGTTTTTGGACATTATGCATCATCTTGACGTTATCTAAAAACCGTCATGTTTATTTTTCAAAACACAAAGTTTCGGAGACTGAATTTTGTCTCCGTCTCCGGAGACAGGAACTAGCTCTATTGATTTGTCCCAACTGAGTAGGGTTTACCCTGAATACGCAGACAGAATTCAGTCTCCGAAACGTTGTGTTTTTAAAAATGAACAGGTCGTGTTTTAGATAAATTCAAGACAATTGATAATGCCCAGAAACATAATATTTGTACTAATGTACCATCGTCACAGACTTTTAGGTCTGATAGACGAAAAGTAGACTAAATGTCCATAGATGTGTAGCCTTTGTAAAGTAAAGCTATCCCTGTAACAGGCCGTGGAGGCCAATAGGGTTATGAGACGTCGAGGCTCCCACACTTTCTCTACACAATCGACTCACAGACGGCGGTAAGGTTGTCAGCCTTACGCGCCGGCCACCATTTATCCCCCAGGAAGATTCCTGGTACTCATCTCTGTTAAGAGGCTGTTTCAACCCCAGGGTCATAGTTCGGCTGGAAGGATTAGCTCAGTTGAAAAAGTCCACCTCATCGGAACTCGAACCCGCGACCTTCTGGCTTGTAGCATAGTGCCTCAAGCAACCACGCAACCTCGTACCCCCGTAGCCTTTGTAACAATGTAAAGTTATACCTCAGTATTTAAGTACATCTTTTGTGTCTTTCACACACACTGATTGGTCATGATTTTGTCCTCTACCAAAATTTAAGTTGTCAATTCTGATGCATCAGCACACGTGTGTCTCAGATGAGAAGCAGGAAGCTGCGGGAGGATATAATGAGGTTACCCTTATTACGGGAATAGGCAGCATTTTCCATAATCAGTGCTCCTGCTGCTGCTTTGTTCTGGGAGGCCATTAGACCGCTCTCGGTTCGCTTTGGCCTCCTTCTTAGAGGCAGACATTTCAGATGTATCAACATTGAAATACGGACTTAATGCGCGGCCTGGTTTCTGCTGACATCATGAAACTTATTACACAACTCTCACGGCCGGCCTTTGTGTTCCTCTGTTCCAGGATTTGCAGATTCCCATTTATTATGTACGTAATAATAGTTATAATAAAGTTAATAGTTACAGAATTGTTAAAAATAATATGGTTCAATTACGTTTTTGGTACTTAACATATTTGTCTTGCTCTAATGAATTTTGTGCCAATTACAGAAGAAAAAGAAAGACAATTCTTGAAGAATAATATCTTCTTAGGATATGACGCCGTG